TTACAGAAACTCACACTATCAACATAACCCTATAACCTTGAAATAATTCAATACATACACGGATTCCAAAAGAGCAAATAAGATCAAAATAGATCTAAAAATACTAATCCTGAATCGAGCCTATTCTTGCCATTTGCCAATATTCAGATAGTACAAATTGCCAACGGATAAAAACATCACCTGGATCAAATTGTTAGAAAAATAGTACAAAAATTATCGAGAAAATAATATTTAAAAATATGCAAAACGATTTTTGGGCAAAACCGAAACTAAAATAAATCGATATAGTAACATGTAAAACTAAATACATAAACCTAATCGAGTTGAGTGTGTGACACTCTCTCCTTAAGACAGATTCGTCCTCCTCATCGGTGCTTAGGATTCAATGGACGTCTATCTCCCAGGATACAATAATCAATGTCTTGAACTAGAAGCACTGCTATTGCAAGCTTGCGAACTTCGATGTGCATGTCTCTCTTTATAGGAAAATTAGACTCGGGAAATATGAAGAATAAATTCAAAGTGAAGAAGAAAAATGACAATTCTCTTTTTTAAAATGAAGTGAGGGAGATGAAATATAAAGACTTCTATGTGACTCTTCAGAAAGGTTGTGATCCTTCAAAAAGGCTCATCCTTTTATCTCAAGAGACACAATTATTGGAGTAAACTTAAATTCAAATTTTCCAACAATCCCCCACATGAATGAAATTTATAGAAAGGACATGCAACAACATGCAGACAAAGAGAGATACATTATGGAAATATCCTGCATCGAGATAGGTAGCTTTTCGACTTTGAACCTTCCCTAGTGAAAGCCTATTGAACTACTAGCTAATCAGTGGACGTGATGCCTTGAACTGTTCAGCCGTTTGCGTAAGCCAAGACAATAGAATTCACACAGAATATCTTCAAACACAACTTAGTTTTCACGGTTGTGCCCGTTTTGGCCTTGGGCAAGTCCTGGTGTTTCTTGAGTGCTTTAGAGAATTTAGCCTTATAAATTCTCATCTGTTAGGTTTTTTTGGCAACCCCGTTTGACAAAACTCCTTTCAGTTGTATTTGTTTTCGCATTTTTATTTTCAGTGAGGCTATGAGAGTTTAGATGCGAATCCAACCCGAATTGTGCCTTTCAGAGAAGTTTGTGATGCTAATGCTTTCAAGATTGCCACTTCACTGATTATGACGGGGATCGAGCTGCCCGGTTAGCGGGGGTCCAGGAGGCAGCGCCCCTTGGCGGGTCCGGGGCAGCGCCACGGCGGGGTCGAGGGGCAGCGCCCCCGAAGCAAAATGCAAAAATGCATTCCAAGTTGCCTGTCCGCTCGAGCGGACATTACCCCGCGCGAGTGGAAAATCCATGGTTCCAGCAGTTTTGGTCGCCTGAAAAAGTACTGAGATGTGTGATTTAGCGCTCGAGCGGGTTCTCTAGCGCTCGAGCGGACTCTATTTTGTCATACGCATATTTTGCTGAAGCCGCTCGAGCGGGCTGTTGGGCGCTCGAGCGGACCGCGCGAACACAGTTTTTTGGATTTCAATAAGGATTGGGTTTTCTTCCAAATCTAGGATTACTTTTGGTTTTCTATAAGTAGTTGGTTTTCTCCCAAAACTAGACTACTCCTGAAGTCCTCCAGATCTTCTTTTTGGTTCTTAAGGTTTATATTTGGGGATATTTTGTTAGTTTTCTTTGATGTTTTATTGAGTATTCAACTCATGGTTTAAAGAGAGTACATCAAATGTTTTGTTTGTTATACACAAGAGAGAGAGAGAGAGAGTTGTTCTTTGGTGGATTTTGAAGAATTCGAGCATGAAGCTTCGGTAGATTCTGGAGTGGCTCATCGTAAAGACAATTCCGAGGTGAAGACGGGGTTGGAAGAGGCACATAGAGGTTGGTTCAATTAGGCGTGGATTTGCTAGGTAATTAAGAGTACACCTGTGTAATTCCTTTAAATATTCTTAGTGGATTGTTTTGTGGTTGTTGCCCGTGATTTTTTAATCATAGTTGGAGGTGTCCAATTGTGGTTTTTTTACGTTAAAATCGTTGTATTGATTTGCCTTGTTTGTTTGATTGGGATTGTTATATTCTGCTTAAAATTGATACATAATCACAAAGCAACATTTAGGGGATTTTTAGATTTTTCATCATCAAAGCGGCCCCTTTACACTCACATAGGTAATCCTTATTTCGAGTCTCTTAAATACTTCTCTTGAAAGATACCCCTCTAGGATTTCTAAGATATAAGTAATCATTAAAAGCATAGCTTACCTGAAGTTCCCTACATACAACACATGTTGCATATCACTCTCATCATACGAATGGATAAGAGTTAAACTCCTTTAGTGATTTCTGGCGAGCCGGACATAACTTAGTTGTCCCTTTGAAATTAGTTCTTGGGATCTCCAGTCATTTAAGTAGGGTTACCATTTTGATGACTCTGATGTAATAGGTTTTAATCACATTCCCCTCGATAAACTTTCCCTCATTTGCTCTCTGGTCAAACTTTTTGTTTAGCGACCGCTATTTTTCCGTTTGACCTTCTCAGTTAGATATCATTGAGTAGTTAGTGAATCCATTATATTATCCTTAGACAACATTCACAACTAAAAGCAAATGTCATACGGTGTTAAGTCTTTGATTACATCGAGACTTATCGTTACTCTATGTCACTCCCATTTAAATAATAAATATAGAGTTGTTCCTTAGGAGTCAATGAAACAATTGTTGCTTCTACTCTAACTTTGTCCTAAATAAAGAATTGAGATTCTTTGTGGATCTATTATCGGAACCGTTACTTTGGTAAAATCCTTTAAGCACCCCTACATATTAAGCATTCTAAGGAAACTTAATTCCTCTTGTTGATGTATAATTATACAAAATATTAATACACCCCCACAATTCTGAGATAAATCAGAATATAATATTAATTGGTGTGCTTGAACTAAATAACAAGAAGTAAACTGTTTTGTGAATATAATCACAATACTACTTTGTCTAAAAACAATTAGGCTTTATAACTTGCTTTTGCAGTACAAAGAAGAAATGACTAAAACCGGTTGTGACCACAACACTTTGTCAAATAACATTTCTTTAGCCATGATTAATTTCTTTTTGTTTACTGCAACCCTTAATTCCAATCTCAACATGGAATATAAATATCGCACACTCGACTCGATCAGGTTTTATCTATTTAGTTTTATCACGTTATTATATCGATTTGTTTCAGTTTTGGTTTTGCCCAAAAATCGTTTGCATATTTTTAAATTATATTTTCCCGGTAGTTTGGTACTATTTTTCTAATAATCTTAAGACAGATTCGTCCTTCCACCGATGCTTAGGATTCAATGGATGTCTATCTCCCAGGATACAACGATCAATGTCTTGCACTAGCAGCACTACTATTGAAAGCTTAGCGAACTTCGATATGCATATACTCTCTTTATAGGAAAATTAGACTCAAGAAATATGAAGAATAAATTCAAAGTAAAGAAGAAAAATGACAATTCTCCTTTTTAAAATGAAGTGAGGGAGATGGAATATAAAGACTTCTATGTGACTTTTCAGAAAGGTTGTGATCCTTCAAAAGGACACACCCTTTCATCTCAAGAGACACAACCATTGGAGTAAATTTAAATTCAAATTTTCCAACACAAATTTGATGCACCTCCACAACAGTTTAACATTATAAAAGGAAGCTGCAAGCTGCAAAGCATTTCACATTTTCTAATTTATATATGAAGGGTGGTAATCATAATACAAGACCATGAAGCTTCCCAATTTTAGCTCATTTCTTCCAAATTTAAACTCAATGGTTGAAAATTAAAGGAGCCAAACAAGGACAGGAATCCAATACCCACTTCATATTTAAAACTGTTTCTCATGTTTTAAAACTTTCTCCACTACCGTCATCAACCCTATAAGAAGCCTTCTTTACATTCCTACTCTCTAACTTGAGGACAAAGATTGTCTTTCGAAGAGCAAAGTCAGAAATAAAGACATCACACACACACACACACACACACACACATATATATATCAAAGTTTGACTACTCTTCCAGTAAAAGGGAAAAAGGATGGGAGCTGAACTGTCTGCCATGCAACGTGCACAAGCCAATGGACAAATGTCCACGAAGGCTTCATCAGTGAGAGTCTCCCAACCTCAGGTTCTTGCCTTCCATTCCTCTGCCAGATGGAGGGCTCATTTTGAGGCCTCCAAAACAACCGCCAAACTGGTGAGACCCTCTTCAAATCTTCTCTTAAAACATGCTTTGAAGTTCCTATTTGCATAGAAACTAGTAACAGAACCGGACATAAGAAGATGGATGTGGGACTTACAAAAAAGAAAAAAAAAGTGAGACCCATCTTATCCGATTGTATGATCGGTTTCTGTGTTTCTAGACTCTTTCCATACTAGTTAAACTTGATATTGTTTTTAGCTCTATTGATCTCTATTGTATTTTGTTTTGTTCTCTTTTTTGGTTTTGGACTAAAGATGGTTATTGACTTCACGGCATCATGGTGTGTGCCTTGTCGCTTCATGGAACCGACCATTAACGAGTTTGCTGCCAAATATACGGACGTTGAGTTCATCAAGATAGACGTGGATGAGTTGATGGTATTGCTCTTTTTCTCCACTAATTAAGGACTGTAAAGCATGGTTGCACAGAAGAATTTCACACAAACCATCACAAACAAGACAAGACGATGTGGTCTGTGTGGCTTGTTGCGTTCTTCTGTGATTGTTTCTATCAAATTCTCTAGCGGAACTGATTAAAGACGTGATTGATGGCTATCGATGATTTTGATTCATTCTTTTCTACATTTTATGTAAAGAAATCAAGTGAGATATATATTAGAAGGATGCATGAATTAATAATTTGGATTACATTACAGGATGTGGCTCAGGAATTTGGGGTACAGGCAATGCCAACATGTATACTGATAAAGAAAGGGAGAATAGTTGATAAGGTCACTGGGGTCAGAAAGGAAGAGCTTCAGAAGAAGATTGAGAAACACAGGGCCTACTATAACTATGCCTAGTTGCATTATATATGATGCTTTGGGCCAAAAAAAATTAATAATAATAACAAATAATTAAATAATAAAAAACATCTCATAAACACATTTGTGCGACCCACACAAATGTCTGATCTCAGATGTTGTTATCACAAAACCACCAACCACACTCAATAATTGTTCATGAATAAAGTTGACGTCTCTCCTTTATTATGTTATCTACTACTAATCTCGTTCTCTCCCCTTCTCGTTATTATAATAAAGAGGAAATTTCGTGAGACAAGAGGGTAGGCTTTGTGGTTAAGAGTCCTCTCTACCAGACATCTGGTTTTGGAAAGAAAAAAAAAATGTAATAAAATATTTGTACAATGTTTATTTCTTATAATAGACACATCTTTAATGTTTATTCTTTATAGGCCTTATTTGGGAAGTTGACAATTTGATTTTTTTTTAACTATTTTAATTTGATTAAAGTAATTGTGTTTGGAATGTTAATTATTATTATTATTATTTTTGGTAATTAATTTAATAATTATGAGAGAAAAAATAAAATAATTATGAATTAAATGTGACAATTTATCATATTAATTATTTTAACCTATTTTATCTTTTAATAGGTTATTTTAACACAACCAAACACCCACGCTTCCCTTCTCGGTCATCATAGCCAATTCTTTCTATTTCTTGTCCTAGAAATCAATTTTATGACACTGAAACCTGTGTCTCATTCATGTACAAGTAATTTTTTGTCGGACTCTTGTTTCTATTAAATAAAAGTTTCTCTCATTTATGCACGGGTAAATTTTTTGTCATCTTTAACGCAACCAAAACACCCATTATGAGATCTGAATATGTATGGTTATCAGTAATATGATTTTATATTGAGTGATATCCGATAATATCAATTAATATATCAGTGAATAACGGTATTAAAATGTCAAAACCTTGTTACATAGCCCCATTACATAATTACGAGGCCTACGAAAACCGGAGAGGGGGGGAGGGGGGAGCCAACTCCCTCAACCCCAAAGCAGACAATATCTGCAGGGGTGTGAGAAGTCAGGTACGCAAATTTGACACTAGAAGGAGGGTTGTCCGGCAAACTCTCCTGAGTTCGCAGCCCAGTCTACTGGGGGCTATGATGAAGACCCTGTCCCACATCGCCTACGTGAGGCAGAATAGCTCAGTGGCTAGATCCCATGTAGATACTGTCTGCTTTGGGGTTGAGAGAGCTGGTCCCCTCTCTCTCTCTCTCTCTCTCTCTCACACACGGTTTTGAAGGCCTCGTACAAGATGGAATGGACCAGTACGCTTATAATGTGGAAGTGGGAGTCCCTCCCAGGCGATGTGGGACAGGGTCCTCATCATAGCCCCCCAGTGGACTGGGCGCGAACAGCAATAGAGTTTGCCAGACAGCCTTCCTTTTAGCGCCAAATTTGCATGTCTAGCCTCTCACGTCCATGCAAATATTGTGCGCTTTGACCAGAGCCTTACGGTTTTGAAGGACTCGTACAAAGTGAAGGAGACTAGTACGCTTATAAGGTAGAAGTGAGAGTCCCCCTCAGGCAATATGGGACAGGGTCCTCATCAATACGTAATTGCCAGTATTTAAAACCAAGTGCAGACACAGTTTTGTTTGATACATGGTGACTAACCCAAGCATGTATTTTTGGTGTTGAACAGGCTAATTACCCCTTTCATAGCTGGAGAATTGACTAATCTGAGTAATTTACTAGAGCCCAAAAAATTAAAAAAGAAAAATCTCAAGCAAAACAAGATTTGTTTGAACTGCAAAGGCACTCCAAAAGAAGTAATTAAATAGATTAGATCACCAAACACGGTTACCAAAACTAAATAGGAAAATAATTTACAAACAGAATTTATATATATATGTATAAAACTCAACAAAAATGACATTCTTAAAATTATAAATGACAATAATCGTCATTTTAATTGCGACTAATAAGACCATAATGCAATAGAAAGAATTTCAGCAATACAATAGTAACATTTCCAAAATGCAATACAAAGAATACACTTCCGAAACCAAGAACCACAAAATAAAGGCCAAAGTTATTTCCAGACAGCTAAGGCAGCAGTAGCCAAAAAATAGCTATACTTTTCAAGATGCTAATAACACTTGAAGCTGCCAGCACCCCTCAAAATTATCCTCCTAATATGCACATGTTTCCTCGCTCTAACGAATGAATAATATGTTACCTATTTACATCCAGATTGCGCTTACATTGTCAGTGTTAATAATAACATTATTAATAATAGTAACAATAATAATAATAATAATAAGCTTCCATACCCTCCTCGAGTTAAACCCAGAACTGGATTAGCCACTCCCTCCCAGCACCCTCTTCAGATCAGATTTCTGTTCGTCAGTGAGCCTTGACGGGAATTTAACATCAATCTTGATCCTCAAGTTTCCTTTCTTTCCAGGTTCTTTTGAGATTGGCATTCCTTCATTTGGGATCACCACCTCATGGCCTGGTTTGACAATATAGGTGATTGGAACAGTCAAAGGCCTTCCATCAGGGGCAGTCAGTCTAACGTTCTTCCCTGTAAGAGCCTCCAGTAGTGATATTTTCTTGCGGAAGACAAGGTCATTTCCATCCCTCTTGAATACAGCATGTGGTTTCTCTTCTACTACAAAAACAAGATCTCCGGGGGCCATCCCAGCCTCTTGGTTGCCTTTCTCGGGAAAAGTGATTTTTGTTCCCTTCTTCCAACCCGGTGTGATATCTATTTTCAAGACCTCCTCAACAGTACTAGGTTTGCTGCAAAAGTACACTCGTGATTTAAGAGAAGAACACAAAACTGTAAAATGCATGACCGAGGAGGATAACTAAATAAATTGTTACTAGTTCCAAATTCAACCTAACAACTCACAAAACTCCACCAAGAAGACAAGCATTTATTACTTAACCTACATAGAGTACCTAAGAATCTCTTCAAATTTTTAACATAGTTCATTAAGTGCCAAGCTGCAAATCACAGGATGCTACATATTCTCTCGGAATGTGTTTGGCTATTGGTATTATGAAATCAAAGCCTTGCAATTGCAACTGGAGGCAAATTAGTTCAAAATTTTAACCAAGGTGGTTTCCCATTCAAAATTCAAGAACTGGATTCCATGGTGCCAAATGCAGCACTAGGCATGGAGCATGTAACACTAAATACAAATCCCCAAGAACCCATATAGTGAACAACATCCGCATATCTGTCTCTTCCTCACATGGATAGCACTTAAGGACCAATATAGGCAACGGAGAGAATTATCCAACCTCCAAAATCAAGCGTCATCTGCCTATTGCTCCCAACTACCCATATGGACTAAGGGAAAGAATGCCAATTTCGAGGATAGGAGGACCTATAAGGCAAAGTGACTAACCATTAGACACAACAAACATAAAGACTTTTACATTCTCATGAGTGATGATGCCCATAAATCATTTTCTTGAAAACTTATCCTCCCAATCCACACAAAAAATATATTGTTTAATTGTTTAATATATATAAAAAGTGAGCAAAATGTAGGATACCAAGGTTTGTGTTCTATGGCCCTAAATTAGTAACACAGAGGCTGCCAATACCAGCTGATCAAAGCTGTGCATATGCTGGAATTCCTACAATTAGCAGAAACCCAAAATTTCATCGACACAAAATATTTATCATTTAGAACACAAACCAATGTATTGTAAAATTATCATATGAAACTTATTATTACGATTACTATGAATGACATTGCCCAGTGATCAATTTGTCTGATGGAATTCGATTCCCGTAAGTCATACAATTTTCTACTTTAGTTATGACCTCATTTTAGTTACGACCTCATTTTAGTTGCAACTCATGAGATCTTTGGGTATGCCTGATCTGTTATTTGGTTATGACTTTTTTGTTTTTGTTTTTTTTTTTATTTATTTATTTAAGTTATGACTAAAAAAATATGAAATTATGCCAATTTTTTCTTTAATTATAAGGTGCAAACGGTCCACACTTTTTGAGGGGTATGTACCATAGTCTTTCCCGAGTTATTCTTGACCACCAAAGATTGAACAATACCAAAATTTTAAGCCTTTTGCCCTGATTTCAAGACCATGCCGAATAGGCTAGCCTTTTGTGGGCTTTAATCCAGTTTCAAACTACACAAATCACCCCTTTAATGGAAAAACAAAAAAAACAGATTCTTTAAAACTCAATTTTCCTAAAACAGATTCTAGAACAGAGTCAAAGAAATTTTCAGTCCTGTTTTTTTGTAAACTGTTTTGTGATCTGGAAAAAAGAAAAAAAAGGAATGCTATGCATTTGGAAAAACTGGTTCTTGAAAGCAAAAGAAACCCCCCCCCAAAAAAAAGTCAATCCTTCAAATACAATCTTAGACAAATTTTTTGAATTCAAAATTTTGAATTCCAAAGGAAACAAAAACAATTATAAAAAAAATCATATATATATATATATTTTATGGATTTCATCTACGGTAATCAAACAAACTTGCATCGCACGATCCACAATGGAATCCGAGTTCATTGCTTTAGACAAAGCATGTGAAGAAGCAGAATGGCTTCGTCACTTCTTAGAAGACATTCCAATGTGGCCAAAACCTGTGCCAGCTATTTGCATTCATTGTGATAGTCAATCTGCAATATGCAGGGCACAGAATCATATGTATAACGGTAAGTCACGACATATTCGTCGTCGACATAATACCGTAAGGCAATTGTTGCCTAATAATGAATAAAAATAAAGCACCAATTAAGTTTTATAATAAAAAATAAAATTTGGGCGGTGGGACAAAAAGATGGTTTAGAAAAAAGAAAAGAGATTAAAGCCTATTACATAAGAGTCGTCATAATAGTAACCTTGCTTATATGACTGGAGATCCCAAGAACTAAGTTCAAAGGGACAACTAAGTTATATATGGCTCACCAGAAATCACCAAGGGATTAAAAATTCCCTATCCATTCCTATGGTGAGAGTGATAGCCGCAACATATGTTGTATGCAGGGGTATAAGGATAAGCTTTCCCAAGAACTAAGTTCAAAGGGACAACTAAGTTATGTATGGCTCGCCAGAAATCACCAAGGCATTGAAATTCCTACACATTCCTATGGTGAGAGTGATATCTGCAGCATATGTTGTCTGCAGGGGTATAAGGATAAGTTTTGCTTTTAATGATTATTTATATCTTGATTAAGGCATAAAATCAAGACAAGTAAACTCACAATAAGAATCACCTATATGAGTGTTGAACTGGGGCCGGTTCTATGAGAATGAAAAGGCTAAATTCTCTAGAAACACTTATGAAAACCAGGTACGTTCAAGGCCAAAATGAACACAACAGTGAGAACCATGATGTGTTAGAAGATATTTTGTGTGAAATCTATTGTCTTGGCTTACACAAACGACTAAACAATTCAAGGCATCGCGCCCATTGGTTAGCCAGTAAGTCCGATAGGTTGTCACTAGGGAAGGTTCAAGGCCGAAAACTACCTATCCTGATGCAAGATATTTTCGACTTATACTCTTTCGATAAATCTGCATATTCTTGCATTTCCGTTGTCATCAAATTCCATTCATGTGGGGGATTGTTGGAAATGGTTATAAATTCTAGGTAAAACCAGAATTTTATCCTAAGTTCGGTCTATTTTTTAGGTGGGCCCCGTGTGTCGATTTTCACGGGTCAAAGTGGTAATGCGTTCTATGCCGCATTGTGATTCACGTGGTATATTGGTTGCTCAAAACCATTACCGAGTGGATGGGAAATTGAAGCCAAAGTGTGCGCTATGGAAATGGAGTTTTGGTGGAAATTCCTTAAAGGTTTGAATAAGGCTTGTCCCACATTGATTTGGTGGGAGGTTTTGAAAGGGTTTATAAGGCATGGGTTTGGTAGTTGGGGTATGCCCCAAGGGGTACCTAAGTGTTTTAGAGGGAGAAGTTATGGGCAAAATGGGCTAGACCCATTGGACTCACAAAACCACCACACACGGGCGCGCGCTGCCGCCGTCCGTCCGGGTAGGTCGGGCCGGTTCTAATATTAATTTTTTGGACAAAATTGATTGGGCTTGGGCGCGGGTGCGTGGTGTGAGGTTGGGTTGGGCTTGTCCGGCCCAATACTAATCTTTTTGGGTAAAAAACATTTGAATTTAATTTTATTTTTGGTAAAATAAAATCCAGAATTCAAATTAAACTGGTTTGATTTTTCTGTACATCCAAACAAGGCCCTTCCCGTATTAAACCGGAAATAATATGATCCGAATTTACTGTACACCCAAACAAGCCCGTTTTTGTTATCTGTTTGAATTGTAACCCAACATATTCAAATCTGTTTGAATTCAAAACCAACAGGTATCATACTTGTTCAATTCAAAAACCTAGAGCCACCATTCCATCTATAAATAGGACAGCCCTCATTTGGATTTTAAGAACTCTAATTTTCGTCCTTCGTAATTCTGCAAACATCCTCTTCATTTTGCTGCATTATTTTCTTGTCAAAGAGAGTATAAACACTTTGTGTGTTCGTTAGACAAACAATTTGTAGTGCTGCTATTGTTTGTAGTAGATCATTTTATCCTGGGAGATAGATGTCCACATTCTGAAAGCACCGTAGAGAGGACGAATCTGTCTTAAGGACATAGTGTCAAACACTGGACTTGATCAGATTATAATTCGAATAAATTAAATCAAGTAAGTTATTTAATTAATTTTTTGTGTTATTGTTATTTATTTAAATTAGATTTTAATTTTATTTTTGTAATAAAATAAAATCTGCTTTTATTTATTTATTATTTCGAGTTTGATTTTTGTAATCAAACAAATTCTCTCATTTTCTTTATTTCTTTAAATTCTAGTTGTTGTTTTGTACACAATAGAATTAAATCTTTTAAATACAGTGAAGATTATCTAACACAAATTTAGCGGTGAATGCTATACACTAAAAAAATTTATTACATTTTTTACATAATATTTACATATAATATAAGTCTTGTAGCGTTTGGTTTCTACCCTCATCATATAAATATTGCATAAATTAGCATTGTTCCAGATTTGAGTCCATACCATAGATGTTAAAAAAAAAATTAATAGGCTTAATTTTTTTTAATAAAAAAAATTGATATTAAAATTATATTACAGTATAAGCACATCTAAAAAAAATTATTAAATAAAAAAAAATGTTTTTGGCCAAAAAAAATAAAAATAACTGTTACAAAATTAAAAATTAATAACTATGTGATTCAATTGTTGGTTGCATTTGTTCTTTTAAATGTATATTTTTATTTTAAAAAATAAAAGTAAATAATGAGTTTGTCTGATTGATAGGCCAACCAACAAGTGAAGCCGAGTCCTATCTAAAAAATAAAAAAAACAATTGAAGCTGAGTAGATCCAAGTCAGCATTTTGAATTGATGAGTTGGTCTAAGACTGGGCTAGACAGAAGGCGTAGATGGAATGAGGATAGTTGTGTCCTCATCCATGGTTCCAGTAAGCTCAGCTTGGTCTGATTATATCGCATTTATCAGATTGATTGTACATCATTCTTACATAATTATATCACATTAATCTTAGAAAATTAAGAATGTAATTTGATTATGCAATTATCAATATTTAATTAATATTTTGTTTTATATCGATACTATATGAATAATTTATTTGGAAAATATAAAAAGAAAAAAGAAAAAAAGGTGAGAAGTTAAAAATAATAATTATAAATTCATAAAAGTACAAATAATTTATGTACTAAATTATGCAAATAAGTATTGTAATTTATAAATTTACAATTATTTTTTCTACTTCCTATCTTTTTAATATTTTTCTTAATTTATTTACCGTGTTCTACAATATAAATGATTTACATTATTTTGATGGGCTTGCAGTAATGCCCACCAAAAAGTACAAGAATACCACCTTGTTTGGTCTCATAATTTTAAACCCACTTCTTAGGAAATTGAGTTTTTTATATTTTTTATATTATTTTGTTTTCATTAAATTTTTTTAATATTTGATGCAAATATCTTAGTTTTTAAATACACATAACATAAATACACTTAAAACATCTTTTAAAAATTCACCAAATACAAAAAATACAAAAATTTAATATATTTTCATATTCTTGTGTATTTATTGATTTTTTAAAATATTTTTTTTTACAAATATTTCACTTTTAAGGTAAATATAGGTTAGGTGCATTTTAAAAGTAATTTTTTTTTTTAAATTATTAAAAGCATTCACTAAAAATAAAAAATTCAATTCTCAAGAAATTTGAGTTCAAAAATTAGAATTGAATTGAATTGAATTCAAATGAGTCTGCTAATCCTGAAATTGAAGAAAAGCCTGCTAACAGAGCTGTGATGGTGCCTGGAGATGTGGCTGTGGCAAATAAAAGTTGCGACAACACAACAGCCAAGGAAAACCCAAGTATGTGTTGGGGAGATTACAGTGATAGTGAAGCTGAGGTTGTTGAAGTTACTAGCTGAATCAAGAGTTTAGACTCTCCTTAAGTAGAAGTGACATGTTCATAGCCCCAACAGCATTTGACTGCAAGAGAGGCAAAAACAACACATTGAATTGCGAGAAGCAGTTAGCAAGTGGAAAGAATTCTTCTTGCGAAAGCCTGTAAGAACAACTATGATGAATCCTGGTGATGCCGTTAGTGACTCTCCGATATGATTTGATTTGATTTTGTTTGCAGGAAGGGATGTGAAATGTTAACTAAGGGCCTTCATTGATAATAGGCTGGTGTCTGGAAGATATCTATCTACATAGTAAGCATGTCCTCTCCGCTTGAGTTTTGTTGGTTGTTAAGTGAAACGAACAGAACCTCCAGGTGCTATGTACTTTTCCTTTTATATTTTTTGGATTATGGTTGTGCATGGAACTTGAAAGTTCTTTTACTAGAAAATTTCAATTTTCTTGCTTGTAACCAAATATGTATGGTAGAAGGATCCTTGATGATGTAATAATACTCATGGTTTTTTTTTTTTTTGGTTACAATTTTGTCAATATGAATCATCTAATAAGTACACTGGTACGTACCCTCCCCCCCACCCCCATATAACCTGAGATGGCTTTGTTTATTGTATGAAAACCGTGCTATGCTTATTTCAATTTATCAAGGTTTCGAATTCTTGGATATTATCTAATATGAAATGGTCTACCAGTCTTTACTTGAAGCCTCGAACAAAAGTTGTTCAATTCTTTCATGAGGGTTGATAATCACTTTCATGATGCTATTTTTATTACCATTTTAACTAGTGCCCATAAGTTGAAATTTGAATGAGATATTTGCCATTTATTATTGTGCATCTGGTTTTTTCTTTTTAAAAACAAAAACCCATAGGAAAGCCGTTGTCACATTACTATGGTATAAAGTTTTGTATAAATTTTGAATAATTTTCCTTTTAACAATATGGATCGACTTTCGTGGGGATGGTTTAACACATTTAGGCAATCTCTCAAAAAAAAACTATGAAGATTTATTTATTTATTATTTTCCCGTTTTGCTGTGAATGTAGTTTATTTGATAATCTTTTATAGTATGTCAAGCTGGTGCCAGAGATCGGAGCTTTAGCTAGCAAGGATCACATTAACACCAAATTAAAAGCGAAATGAATATATATAATCTCAATAATCTCAACAACTTTGATCTCTCATTTCTCAAATTCTCATCTTTCAGTGTCGTTCCAAAAAAAAAAAAAATTCTCATCTTTTATCAGATTGATCTCCTCCACCAACCACCAACCACTTCAGAAGCTATTTCGGTGAGGGATTTCATTGTTTTTTCTTTGTTATGCGCGTTGTTTGTAGTAAAAAAAATGTCTCATACTTCTTAATATTTGATAATCTTGAAAAAACAACTCACCTGGAAAACAACTCATACTTCATACTTCTTATTGTGTGGAGGAGGAGAGGGAGGGAGGGAAGACAACTCACCTGGAAAAAACAATCTGAGCCCTTCGTCATCGACTCATCCTTCATGTGTTTTTTTTTTGTTACAATTTTGTCAATATGAATCATCTAATAAGTACACTGGTACGTACCCCCCCTCCTCCCCATTTATTTTTTAATTTCAGAAATCCCAAGTCTGCAGTTGGAATCCAAGTCTACAGTTCGAATCCTAGAACCAAGACATCTGATCCCCTAAAGTTTATAGTTTCGGTTCTTCCAAATTCAAAATGAAACCTTCATAGTTTAACTAAAAAAGTTAAGTGTCTAAAAATTAAAAAAATTATTTAAAATATTAAAAAAATTCAATAAAAAAATGCGAAAAGCAAGAAAATAGAATTTTTTGAAAAGTATTTTAAAAAACGGAAAACAAACATGGTGAAAAGTATTATAAAAATTGTAAAAAAATAAAATTTAAAAAATGTAAGGAGATAATGCTATGATGTAAGTAAAATTACCCTAGTTAGTCACATCTCACCCACACCAAATTGTCGGTTGGCTACAAAAAGTTTTTGGTACCAAAAAAATGTTAGGGACCATTAATAAAATAGAAACTAATCATATTACACCCATGATTGATAAGGCTTTGTTTGGAATAATTTATAAAAGTTAAAAATGAAAAAGTTATTTAAAAAAATTAAAAAATTCATACTATTCGGCAGAAGTTTCTGAGAGAAGTTTAGAAGGTAAAATTATTATTTGGTTATTCAATTCAACTATCCAAAAGTTAAGAAGTTTAAAATAAAAAAGTCAACAAAGGTAGAATGGACATTTTAATTTTATTACACATTTTTTCGTAAAAAATCAAAAAATTATCCCAAACATACATATATTTTTTCTCTACTTTTTTTAGTTAAAAAGTAAAAAAATACACTCATATAGCACATCCCAAACAACCTGTGACAAAATATTTTATGGATTTTTATTAATGAGTTAGGGACCATTTTTAATCTGCTAAAATATAATTTCCAATCCCCAAAACCAAACACTAGTTGACCCTCACAATCAAACATCACCTTCTTCTTCCTCCCCAAACTCTACGCAAATCCAACGCTCTTTAGAATTTCTTTCCTTTTCACATCTTTTAATTGTTATATACATGAAATTTAAAGTAAATACAGTTAGTTTGACACATTTGATGTAATTATATCATTCTGCTGTCCTTAAACGTTTAAATTTGTATAGAAGTTAAATTCATTTTCTTTTATTAGACGTATAAATAAAATAAAATAAAAATGATGCTATCATGTCTTTCTTGTTAAAATGTATATTTATTTTTATTTATTTTAATTATATTACGATTTATATTAGTTTCAAAAATTAATTTAATTATATAAAAAAAGGGTAAATACTAACTAGTATTCCCTAAGTATTGTTTAATGTTAAAAAAGTGTGTAAAAGTGTCTTAAAGATATGTGAAAATATTAAAAAAATGTATTGATTTCAATAAAAATGTATTGAATTTAATAAAAGCTATCTTGTATTTTTAAAGTTTTTTACTATCTTTTATTTGTGCCCTAAAAATACTTGTTAGCATGACCCATAAAAAATATATGATTAATTTTTTTTTTCAGGTGAGTGTAATTACCCTATCCTGATTAGCAATTCCTGCCATTGGTAAAAATCCAACTGAGATAGCGAGTCTATTCATTTTGTTTAGTCTGGGGACAGTTCCTTATCATATGGTGCATTTTACCACATCTATAACCAGTCCCAGAAATTCAGTAAAAAGCTCCTCGATGTTTCTTACCACATTCGTTACATGTTGGTGTTGTATTCCTTGTACAGTTTGGAGTGAGCGATTATTCCGTATTTTTTTTTTAAATAATATTTTCTCTGAGAAAAACCCTTGCCTCTTGCTTTTCCATTCAGAAGATCGATTCATGTTAGTTTCGATCATCAATGTTCGGTCTGGCACCTTAACATATTTTGTGACTTTCAACACATTCACTTGGTGCTCTTGCACTGGTGGTGGCAAAGGTTCTTGTCTTAAGGGTAACTGATGTTGTTTTTTTAAGATTTCTGCCATTCCTTGTACTATTATTTCCAGTCTATCAAGTCGGGCTGTGGAAGAGTCTTCCAACTCATTTGCTCTTGTTTTCTCCATGATCTATGGAAACTCGTATTAAGCCATACCAAGTACAGAAATGCCCAGTACAGAAATAAACACAGATACACATAGGCATATTGTTTCATATTCACATTTTACATATCATCAAGACACAAATAATCATACGCATAATGGATGATTGCATGCTTATCAGATATCTCGTGCTGAATACTTATTAAATAATTGCAAACTTAACCATATTCATATTCCACATATAAACCTATTCGCAGAATAAAAATGCACATAAGCAACAATTCATGATTCATATGTTCAAGTACTTGCATTATAACAAAACAAAACTTGTCGTACAAATTAACACAACAATTCATATCTCATGTAATCACATGTTCTCAATGCATATTAGCCTGTACTTATAAAATGGATGCATCTTAAGTCTTTTTTAGACACCTTAAGGCTCATTTGGACAAGTGTGTGGGCTATTAACTCATGCTTTGATACCACTCTGTCATGACCTAAACCCGCCCCTATAGATTAAGGTCATAACCGACCAATAATCATGAGATTACCTACGGCCTCAAACAGAAATCAATCAAAAATTAATAATATGGGGCCAGATGCGAAAAATTAAAAATTTTATCCAATGAACTGTGCTTACATGGAAAATTAAAAACATCTCCTATATACTTAATAATAACTCACACCACATATTAGTAGTTAACATCTTGTGCACCCAGGATCATTCAGACACAGTCAGCTATACCAAAAGCTTATACACATAAGTGGTCTATCATGACCAATGTAAGTAGCAAAAGAAAATACAAAAGATCATAAACAAAGCCTCTTGCGTGAGGCATCTGGGCTGGCTTCACAAAACTCGGGTTCCTTTCTCAAACTCCACTAAGGCTGAGGTTCCTACATACATATGAATAAGAGTGAGCTAACGCCTAGTGAATAATACCAAAATAAAGAAGTTACATGAATGAGATTTGTAACATACATATCAAACGACCTTGGGCCCATTAATATTTCTATCTAATATATCAAACGGCCTTAGGCCTAAACATGTCAAACGGCCTCTGGCCCATCATATCAAACGGCCTCAGGCCCAATTCATTCTTATCAAATGGCCTCGGGCTCAATTCATTCATGTCTAACGGCCTTTGGCCTAATGGTTCACGTCAAATAGCCTTTCCTCTGGTCCAATTCATTCATGTCAAACGGCCTTTGGCCCAATCTTTCGCGCCAAACAGCCTCTGGCCAAATTCATTCATGTCAAACAGCCTTTGGCCCAATCATTCACGT